GCTGAGGTTGTTCGGAGGAGTCCAAGTGGGCCCCTCACGGTGGATGTGCCATCTGGAAGCAGCAGCGACAACTTTCATGGGACTCAGGCATTAAGGAAAACACCGGACGAGGGGGAAAGTAGCCGGCGAGTGATAGTGTCCTGGCTCGCCTGTAGGTTGGGTGCATCGCAGGGCAATGAAGGTCATAGAAGAGATAAAGAGATAATGGTCGACGGCGGAGGCGAAGGATCGGTGCAGCTAGAGACAGATCGAAGCCTACCAGACGTTGCCGAGACGACGGATAGGCGTCACCCTACTCGTGATTTATTCCCGCATGGCGTAATAGACCGTAAGTATACATATACATCTCTACATGGCGGTGTGGATGTGTGATAGTAATAATCACTATAGTTAATGTGGCAGGTGTCACCGAGGGCGTGAGCGCACGTGAAGGGGGGCAAAAGGAATGGTGGTGTATCCAACGCAGATCCAGAGAGGGGTAGGCTAACAAACAAACTATGACACATCTGTAAATTGTATTTAATACAAACAATGTGGTATATAACAAGCCTGACACGTAATCAGTGAAAACTTGGATGGCCTCCGTTTGATGCATATGTGAATTATTATTATAATTCATCGGATCGCTGTTAAATCATTGTTGTCCTTGCAGCAGCTGGAGTTTGCGGGATTGCTACTGGCGATAATACCTGCAGTGGTGACGCATTCCCCGCGGCTGGTGTGGTTGTTGAAGGCGTTCCTCCCTTCTCTTTTGCAAGGGATGCAGCCCCGGTGCTAGATGACTCGGATGATGAAGGTAGTTGCATTAACTCCTTGAACGTATATATGTAGAAAAATGTACGCATTTATATTTGTATATGGGTTTCTATACTGGTATATTGATATTCAATTGCGTTGTATACGCCGTAAGTATCGTATAACGATCTATTTTAATACATACGTGTGTACAAATAGAAACATCGTAAATATGAAAATAAAGATATATTAATATATATATCGGGGTACATGTATTTGTCTAGGAATTAAATTGGCGCATGCGGACTTATAACATGCATAATTATCGCAGGTCTGGATCGCACGGAAAATGTAATATTATATATAGCATACGATGGGGACGGGTCTTCAAGAACAAACGGGACTGTAAAGTCAAAATAGCTGTCCACGCTATAAATCGAAATTTCAGTTACCGTAATGAGAGATCGTACAACGACTATGTGGTTGTGCGGTGCCTCTCCGACACATGTCCATGGAGGGTGTACGTTGTAAAGATTGAAGATACACAGTATTTTCAGATCAGGACTGCCACGCTGATTCACAACTGCCCGGTCGATGTGTGTAGACAGTTTCACCGCCAGGCCACCACCTCCGTAATTTCCGAGATGATGAGGGACTGTTACGTGGGTTAGAAGCGAGGGCCAAACCCGGCTGGAGTTGTGCGGGTGATGCTCGAGGATCATAACGTCAGCATCTCATACTGAAAAGCATGGAGATTGAGAGAACTGGCAATGGATAGGGCAAACGGCTCAGCGGCTGGTAGTTATGCCCTTCTACCTGCGTACCTGCATCTGCTTGAGCTTAGCATCCCGGGATCTAGGACTGCTATAGAGATGGAAGATGATGTGTCGGGTCACAAGCGCTTCAAATATTGCTTCGTGGCTCTCGGTGGCAGTGTCCGCGGGTTGTAATTCATGCGCAAGGTCCTCGTCGTTGATGGGACCCACCTTCGAGGCAAGTACTCCGGATGCTTGTTGATGGCGAGTGCACAGGATGGCAATTTCCAAATTTTCTCTGTGGCGTTTGCAGTTGTAGATGGAGAAAACGATAAGGCGTGGGAGTGCTTCTTCCAACAGTTAAAGCATATTGTGCCTGATGAGGACATTTTAACCTTCGTCTCAGATAGGCATTCCTCCATATATGCTGGTTTATAAAAGGTACAAACCCATGTAGCAGTCTATATTTTTTTATGGCTCGTTATTGTCGAACAATCATTTGTATCCAATTTATGTGCTGATACACGGTCTGTCAGGAATATCCAAGGTCCACCCACGGTGCCTGCATAGTGCATCTACAGCGTAATGTGGCGACTAAGTTCAAAAACAAGGTCTTGGCCGGATCGATCTCTAAAGCAGCTCATGCCTATAGAAGATGACATTCCACGAGTACTTCGCGGAGATTGAAGGGCTTTCGCCGGAATGTGCAGAGTACTTAAACATCATCGACTTCTATCATTGGACACGGTCCCATTGTGACAGTGAACGATACAACATCATCACAAGTAACGTAGCGGAGTCTCTAAACACCGCCCTAAAAGAAGCTCCTGAGTTGCCTATCGTATCTATGCTGGAATTCGTTCGCGGAACTCTCATTTCATGGTTCAACAAGAGGAGGGACGTAGCGAGTAACCATACGTCACTGATGACTCCAAAGGTTGGCGAAATCATCCAAAATAACTACGAACGTTCGACGGCTTGGCACGTCCTGCAGATCAACAAGGACCACTACGAAGTAAAAACGCGTACATGTTTATCTTATCATGTGGACTTCCACAATAAAACATGCACATGCGAATAGTTTACTGCTCTTAAGATCCCGTGCTGTCATGCTGTTACGGCGGCTGGTAAAGGAGATGTCCACCTACCCACAATCGTGGCTGCAGAGTACGGCACGTTCTACTGGCGTCTGGCTTACCATGATAGTATATATCCCGTGCCCGCCGTGGACAGTGTATATGTGGTCCCTCCTGATGTAGCTGCGATGATTGTGCACCCACCTAAGACAAGGAGGCCACCAGATAGGCCAAAGCGTAATAGATACCTCTCGACAGGGGAGTATAAAGTATCATATCGTATTGTTATATGGAATATGGAACATTTCACAAATTGAGATGGTGGTCTATTGAACCAGCGTCCAGGGAGGAAAGTTTTCTGCAAGTGCAGCCGCTGCAACGGGACTGGTCATAATCGCGCCTCCTACAAAGTGCCAATATAATATCAGAATGTGCAATAAGGGATTTACCCAGTCCAACATAAGGTCGAAGTTGATGATGGTATGTTGAACATCAATTAACGGTTTCTAACATTGACATTGCAGTATTGAGCGTCCGCTTTTGTCATGTATGATGAAAGCTCAGCGGCTTCGGAGATCAGTTGTGTCCTCGGAAAATAAGTGACTTATTTCATCCATTGTATTACATCCACCTCTATCGTCGCAGATGAATAGTAGCATCACCTCATGCACTGCCTTTGTAGTAAAAAAATCTAAAAATTTATAATTTCTTGTTATTGTAATATATTGAAAACTCTACCCCTACGTGGGGCATGTGTGTACTCCGTGTACCCCTTGCGGCCCACATATAATGTCATATTAGTACTATGATGAAAATTAAGTGTGCACGGTGCGGATATAGTTGTCAACACATGACCGTTGAATAGATATAGAAATTGGACGGTAACCATTTATACGTATTCTATGGCCATCATTCTCTGATATCCTCCACAAAGATAAGTAGCAGCGTTATATTATATTATACCGTAGTGAGCATATATATTCTAATATAACGACCCTTACCTACAATAACATGTAGCAATCCATATAACCGTGCAAATTAATATCTGCGGTTAAGGACTTTAGCTCTAAACACACGGAAATATAAACCCGAGGTAATATAAATCCGAGATAAATGCAGAATAGTAGACAGAAAAACCCATTAATCACGTCCTAACAAATTCAAAACACAAACATATCCGGCTACGGTGCCCCGAGTATAGCAAAAAAAAAAACCTAAAATGTATGAAGAAAGAAAAGCAATCACTCCGACTGTGCCATACTACTGTTACCAAAGCAAGATTTTTAAACTTCCCCGACACCTACACTGTTCCAAATCCCCACCACAGTGCTCCAGCAGCTCGATGGCTAAATTCTGCGCCCATTGTTCAATCATTCCTTTCCGAACAGCGTATGCCTTGGAGAGCCCACCGGATGCATGCGCCTCCATGATTATGAGTGTCAGCATCCCCGTTGTCTTCCTCTTTGTAGACTGGACAACCGCCATGTCTCTCCTGATCTGCAATGGTTCGAAACCAAAATCGATCGTACCCTCACTGGCAGCGGTTTTGCGAACGAGGTACGGGAACATTTGGCATATAAATTGAAGGTCTGGAACTATTCGTGCCCCACGCCGCTCGGCTGCTGATGCATCAAAAACCATCATCCGGTTGGAGAGTATGTCAATGACGACGCCGACCCATCTGTTCTTATTGACTGCAAATGGGAAATAGACGAAGTCAATGTCTTTCACCCTAAGTTTTGGGTGTGTCGACACCATATCCATGATATTTTCTCTGAAATCAAACGCCTCTTTCCGACTTAATTTGTTGAATTTAGGATAGAGCTTTGCCATCGACATGGCCCAGCTACTGGAGAGTATGTCAGAGCGCATATCTCCCGATGGTGTAGAGCATGATAGCCATGATTTCCGCAGAATCTTCACATAAGCATCCATGACTTACGAGAGAAGAAGGTAAAGCAATAAGAAGGTTAGGATGTCCGGACTTATAGAACGTAATAAAAATTAGTTCCTACCTCTGGACAGGACGGTGGTATCGACTGCGGTAAATCGATAACATCTTGCTCCTTGATGAGCAATCCTCCACCCATGTTTAGTACTCTATAAAACAAAAGGCAACCGTTACATTAAATTGTGGACTGTTATCTGAAATTATATATGTATATAGATGATTGTATTTGTTTATGCGTGCATGTGGATATCAATGGAATCGCATGGATATTTATATTTATTCATACCTGTCTGGTAATGCGTTGTTGGTTAATGCAGCGAATTTTGGGTTGATCACCTCTACTAGTACGTCGGAGGAGGTTCTCATTGATTGTGAATTGCGTTCAGTGTCGGTGGCCGGAGATTTGTCAGTGCTGAGTGCAGGGTCGTCAGGCTGTTCAGTATCTGGTTCGGTAGTGGGAGCACCGTCGCCGATGTCCTGAGTCTATGGTTCTTTAGTGCCGGTCTGATCGTCGGTCTGCATGTTACGCCCATCTAATTTTTCAGTCGTCCCGTCTGTCTCATGCTCTGCGGCTATATCTATGAGGACGTGCCCAATAACATGGTCGGCTCTGGTGCCCCGACCTGTCGGGGCGAGCATGGCAGACATCTTGTCATTCAGACTCCGCTCCAGCCTACTCTCCATTGCCATCATCGACGAGGCCAGTGTGTCGACCATCTTCGATTGGACCGTCTTCATGGCGGCGTCTATAAGCTCTGCTATCCTGTCAGCAGTAATGGGCTGTGGATCTCCTTCGTTGGATGCCTTTGCCGAGTTACGACCTTCTCTTAGTTTTTTGGCTCGCACAGGAGCGACAGGCTTTTCTTTCGGCACGGACAACCCTTTCCTTTTCCTGCTTTTAACGACGGAGGATTGTATGGGTGGAGAATGGACAACTTTCCCGCCGATAAAAGAATCCCTGCAAAACTCGGCTCCTTCTGTAATAAACATCTCCATGTAATCAATCTTCGGATCCAGGGCTTCGTCTTGTCACTCTAGCGTGTCTAGTGGGATGTCATCGGTGTCTACTTCTATAATTGATGACATGGTAATCTGCAATACGCGAGCGGCATTAGATAATATGGTGCCGCACATGCGAAAATTGGACAAGACTGATGGGTACGTAGACATGAACCGCTATCGTGTATTGTAAATGTTTACAGCAATTTATACATGTTTTACCTGGCCCGATGAATCGAAGTCCCACAGCTTATCAAGTTTGAGAGTGCTGGCCATAGCGCACTCTTCCTCCTCCGACTCACTCCCGTTTTCCTCTCCCGTCGTCATCAACTGGACGGAATGAATAAAACCCTGAACGACAACGGTAGCCTGTGCTAGCTGAGTGGTGGTGCGGGATTTGATGCACTGAACCGTCATCTCGAAGCAGTGCCGCCCTCAAGGGATGCTGAGAAAATAGTCAAGGTCTCGAATCATCTCCGTGTGTTCTTTGAGGATCTTCATGCCCGTGGATTTGCGGCAAAGCAGTCCATCGACTATGAGGAGACATGCATATTTGACCTTCATCACGCTGGATAGATTTTTGGAGCGCCTAAGCATTACCTCTAATTTCTCGCCGGTGACATTTTCGTCTCTCCCAAAAAAAGTGAACCAGTATGGCACTTCTTCAGGTTTACACTTCAGCATTTCCCGTGGAGGGGGTGAAATGGGTTTACAGTTTAAACCTGTGATAATCGCGAACTTGCGGAGAGAGAATTTCACCGGCTTTCCGCCGAAAATGAACCACAGCTCATGCTTTTTATCGATCTTCAACTGCCGTGTCAGAAGAAAGTGGGCGAGTTTGTTGGAGTGAGCGGGTTTATGATACATGTCGAGTAATTTCCCAAAGCAAGGCCAAATGTGGGTAAGTTCGTCAGGTGTGAGGGCTTTTAGGATAACTCCGAGTGTGTCGAGTTTGAAGTACGAATTCACTCGGTCACCGACAGGCTCTTGGTGGTCAGCGAATAGACGGTGTGGAAGCACGTTAGATTACATCCCTGCCAACAAGAAGAGAAAACAAAGAATCAGTCCTAATGGTCATATGCAAATGTAAACACTCTATGATAGAATATGGATGTCTATATCGTAGAGAGTATAGCGATATGAAAATGAATCCGTGCTTTATCAGCGATGGCTGTGGGGGTCGATATACCGATAATGGATGCCTATTGAAGAATGAGGATAGCGATATAGCGTAATGTGTGAAAAGCTCCAACGGTAGTAAATGCAAAACTTAGCTACGAACATTAATCCTATGTAACCAAGTGCATGTTGTGTCGGACGGGTTTAAAGAGTAATTAGGAGCACATATAGGGGGATTCAACTCCCTTTGAGCAAACTTTACAGACCACATCGAATTGGACAACAAACACGGGGGATGAAAACATCGTCAATAATCGACACTGGAAATCGGGGTAATCAGTTACGGATTAGGCGTAGAGTGCTGGAGTTTAAATTACCTGAATTGTCAGTTACTGCCTTCCGGTCTCGGATTATACCGACAGATATGACTTCCTGATCGGTCGGAATTAGTCAGAAATTACCGCAGATGGAAACGATGTGATTGAGAACGTACGTTGGTGGAGTGATAAGGACAGCGTAAGAGTTCTGGCCAGGTGACAAACCATTGGGAGAGGAAATTGAGAGGCCGGCGGTAATTTCGGGGTATGATGCGGTTCAGAAGTGGTGCTGGTCGTAGACGTTTAGTTAGCCTTCGATGGTGGATAATGAGACATTGATATTAGGGTTCGAAAACTGAAGGGACGCGGGATATTAAATGAGCAGTTACTGACGCTAAAATTGGACATAGTTGTAGCTTTACAGAATTAAGTAGAAACAAATATATTAATTCGTTTGTGTGACCTCACGTGCTACTTGGCTGAGGAGTTGGAAGATTGGTCGTGCGTGAGGGTAGCGTGGGCAAAATGAATGGCAAATTAGTTTGATATTCGAACTATAAAAAATAATAGTCAAATCATTAATTCAATACCAGTCCTTTGCCATACCGTGCAATTTCCCTTCTCTATAACCAAAAAGAGAATTCTACAGCTTGAATCATGTAATTAAAGTTTTTCAATGCAAATTTGAAACTTATGTGTGTTTCTATCTAGTTAATTTAATTATATATTCCAAATGAAGATCTGATATAAACTATGCACTACATGTTTAATGAAAAAAGAATAGCGATGATAGTTATGAATTGGTAAAGATGGTTTTAAAATCAAAAAAGTGGTTGATTTTCGTTTTATATCTAAAGGAAAACTAGATAAGCCGGAAGGAAATTTCAGTTATTTTTCATTTCATATATTTTATGCATTTAAAACACAAAAGCAAATAGCACGAAGTGCTCGAGACTAGTTTTACAATTTGTAAACTTAATTGGTTACCTGAATTTTTTTTAATAGTTAGAAGCTGTTGATCAAAAAATTTTTTAAAAAAATTAGAAAATAAAAAAATGCAAACCATTGCCCATATGTCGTCACTGTGACGTGAATCTTTTTCTGTGCGTCTTTTTCGCCACGTTTGAGTTTTTACTCTCTGCAAAAAGTAGGAAACAAATCGCAAACTTGTTCCTTTGTTTTCTTCAAATGATCGATTATATAATCAAATCCAACTTCCCGATTTGAGCTAGAATCGAATTCGAATTCTGACTATTGAAACTTCAGGCAGATCGAAATCCGATTCATCATCATCTTCTTCTCCGCCTTGATCGCTCTTATCATCGGTAAATCTTGTCCCTTACCTTAATCTCAAGCTGTTCCCACTCTTTTGCTGCTCCGAGACGCGAATTTGACTATATAATCGATCGATTCCTTCGCGTTTCTGTTTGAACGATTGATGTAATTGAGAGATCGTGATGTTGTCCTGCATGAATCGGAAATTTGGTGTTTTGTTTCCGCGAAATCTTAGCTTAGAATCATTGAAAACGAAAATCTCGCTTAGGATTTGAACATTCGTGTGCTTTGGTTTTGATTTGCCAAATTGTTCATTGTTGCAGTACAAATCTGGTGAATTTTTGCTTCATGGAAAAACATTGGTGTGTCTCTTTGATGAGTAGTGGAAAACATGGTGAACACAGAGTCATCGAAAGTTAGTTCATTGAGCAAAAGTAATGTTTCTGAGCTAACGAGGAAGATGATCAGTTGAAATCCATTGATGAGCAGCCTTGTCATGATGATATGGAACTCGCGGTAGTTGAATTCAATCAAGTTCTCATGCAGGAACCGAAGAAAGAGGAATGTGATGATCTAAATAAGGCTGAGGCCGTGAGGCCGTGGATGGTAATGATGAGAATGTGGGGATTGGCTCTTTTTAAGAGCCAAACATTGTGAAGACGAAAGAGCTTACCGTAAGATTTGGGACGACGAGTAAGCCGGGGTCTGGTGGTAGCAGAAGACAGGCGAAGAAAGGGGTTGCATTTCATGAACCCTTGAAGGTTAACAAGACGATGATTCGAGAGAATGGTGAAGAACGGTGTGAAGAGGAGCTTAGATACGCGTGAGAGGGTAATTCCGGATTCTCCTGACCAGGATTACAAGTGGCTCAGGCGGCGGTGATAGTGCTCGGAGCAAAGTCAAGGAAACTCTACGTCTTTTCTATGGAACTTGTCGAAAACTCTTGCAGGAGGAAGAAGCAAAGCCTATGAAGACTAAGCGCTTCAGAGTCGATTTCGAGGCTATTAATATTCTCAAAAGCAAAGGGAGATATCCCAGCGCCGGAGCTAATCAGATTATGGGAACTGTTCCTGGTGTTGAGGTTGGAGACGAGTTTCAGTATAGGATGGAGCTGAACATGCTCGGCATACACAGACCGAGCCAAGGCGGTATCGACTATATGAAGATCGGCAGCGACATCTTAGCCACGAGCATTGTAGCCTCCGGAGGGTACGACGACGTGCTTGATAACTCCGATGTCTTGACCTACACAGGTCAAGGCGGAAACGCGATGATGAAACCAAAGAGAGGAGAGCAAGTAAAAGGTCCCGAAGACCAAAAGCTTGTTACGGGAAACTTGGCTTTAGCAAACAGTATAAACAAGAAGAACCCTGTGCGTGTCATAAGGGGCAACAAGAAGGCGGTTTTGGAGTCGTCATCATCAGGTGCAAGCAAAGGTGGGAACTATGTCTACGACGGGTTATACGTTGTGGAAGAGTATTGGCAAGAAACCGGATCACACGGTAAGCTCGTCTTCAAGTATAAACTCAAACGGATTCCGGGACAGCCCGAGCTATTGTGGAAAGTGGTGAAGCAAACGAAGAAGTCGGAGAACCGTGAAGGTTTATGCAGGCTTGACATCTCAGAAGGGCGCGGTGAACGAAATCGACGACGAGGAGCCTCCTCCGTTCATCTACACGGCTAAGATGATTTACCCGAAGTGGCTCACGCGGATCCCTCCAAAGGGATGCGGCTGCACAAAGCGATGCACGGAGAGTAGAAACTGCGCCTGCGTGGCGAAAAACGGAGGAGAGATACCTTACAACTACGATGGGAACATAGTTTATCCAAAGAGCTTGATCTACGAGTGTGGCCCTCTCTGCAAATGCCCTCCTGCTTGCTACCTGAGAGTCACGCAGCGAGGGATCAGGTTCAAGCTCGAGATCTTCAAAACAGAGTCGAGAGGCTGGGGAGTGAGGTCTCTCAGCTCGATACCTTCGGGTAGCTTCATATGCGAGTACGTCGGCGAGCTTTTGGAGGATAAAGAAGCTGAGAGAAGAACAGGGAACGACGAGTATCTCTTTGACATTGGGAACAAATACGACAACACTTTAGCTGAAGGGATGTCGAAGCTAATGCCAGGGATGGAGAAAGAGAAAGAAGAAGAAGATGGTGGCGATGGTGGTGAGACGACGGGGTTCACCGTAGACGCCGCGAAGAAAGGGAACATCGGGAGGTTTATAAACCACAGCTGCTCGCCGAATCTGTATGCACAGAACGTGTTGTATGATCATGAAGACAAGAGGATCCCTCACGTGATGCTGTTTGCGATGGACAATATACCTCCGCTTCAAGAACTCACTTACCATTACAATTACATGATCGACCAGGTGCGCGATGTTAACGGTAATATCAAGAAGAAGATTTGCTATTGTGGTTCTTCTGAGTGTACCGGTAGGCTCTATTAATCGATTACCCTCAAAACTTTTCTCCACTGTTCTTTTTTAACTCAGATTATTCTTGTTTTTATGTTTTTATCAACGGTTTATGTTATACCGTAGAATCTATATTAATTAATATACCATATAGCTATAGCAGCAGCTAAGAACAGAACTGATGTAAGAATCAATGCAGCATTTTGATATGATCCTGCATATACAACAACAATGTAGCATTTTGGTTTCTGTTTTGTTCTTTCAAGTATTGGCGATGACAGGAACAGATCTATTTTACCTGAACGATATCGACAAGAGGAGAAGGAACATCGCCAAATTTGTGAATCGCAACTGTAGAGATAGCCATTGATAATGGTCTTAAACTTGGTTTCACACAATGTAAACACATAGTTCATGTTATGGTAAATATATCTCTTTTGATAAATCCTCTTATGATTGGACCTTAACCATGTATAATCATGTCAATCAAATAAACAGGAATACATTTGTGCTATAAATTCATAGGAATACAAACATTGGCTAAAGAAAAAGTAAAAGAGAAAAACAGAGGAAAGAACACAACAAAAACAGAGTAACCGGAAACAATAACTGAAATCAAGACACTGATAAATGGGTTGCCTTCTCCCTCAAGCTTCTTTCTCTCCGGTCCATTTGGTTTGGTTGCAAAGATCTTCAAGTTGGGTTTACGAAGGCTACACAAACAAAATATACGTTAGTTTTCACTTATTCATTCATCAAGAGAATTCTATTATAATATCTTTTTTTCAAATTCTGAACATTACCTCTCTAGTTAGATGTGGTGCTTCTTCTTCTTCTTCTTCTGCGTTTGTTTCGACCAAAAGGACTTTTGAACCACTCTGGTTTGTATGAAACCAATATGTATCCAATCGTCAACCCAAACACAATTCCAGGTACATATCCTATTACAGCTGCAATCCAACTGAACACCTCATCATCCTCTTCTTCTGGTTCTGACGTTTCAGACTTTTGCGATGAAGGCTTGTGGATATCTCCGCAATTATCTTCAAGAGCAGGGCCGAAAAGTCCCGAGTTGTTGTCGAAGGAAGAGCAAGGCTGCGTTCGAAACTGAGTGCCTCCGGGTAGTAAACCTACAAGTTGGTTATGGGAGAAGTTCATGTACTCAATGAACGAGAGGTTCCCTAGCTCTTGTGGAATTTCTCCGGAGAGCTTGTTTTGGGAAACGTCTAGTGACTCCAGAGCTGTAAGGTTCCCCATGGACGATGGTATGTGGCCATTGAAAGCATTGTTTGACAAGTTGAGCACGTGAAGCTCTTTCAATAAGCCGATGGAATTTGGAATCTCGTCTTCAAGTCTGTTTCCAGAGAAGTCGAGTGCTGTGAGGATTTTTAAGATACGTTCCAGCTTCATTTCTATTCCTTTATTCACCAAAACCATTGAATCTTTGTAATAGCCTAATTCATCTCCCATGTAACGTTCCTTTGACTGATCTTCATGAATCCCAAGTGATGACATTGAACTCCAATTCTCAAAATAATCAGATGGCAGAGTTCCATTGAATTGATTGTGTGATATGTCGATGATCTTCAGGTTAAGGAATATTCCTTGATGTATCGACCCATGGAATGCATTAGAGCGCAAGACAAGAACTTTCAGGTTTTGTAGAGAACTCAACCAGAACGGAAACGTGTCGTTGATTCTGTTGCTTTCCACATTCAGAACTTCAAGAGCGGAGAAATGGATCAAAGATCTTGGAAGCTTTCCCACCAATTGGTTATTTCCAAGGTCAAGCGTTCTTAGACCTTTAAATACATTCTTCGGAAGACCTCCACTAAGACAATTCTGACGTAGGTTCAGAACTGAGAGATTGCTCTTGAGATTTCCCATACAAAGAGGGATTGAACCATTGAAATTGTTGTTTGACAAATATAGTATGGTTAGAGAGTGAAACTCGCATATGAGAGATGGAATCTCTCCTGTGAAGTTATTTTTAGAGCCAGACAAGTACTCCAGGGCAGAGGATAATCCATGTTTCGTTGAGCTTTCGAAACCGACGAAATTGTTGTTGGAAAGATTCACGTACGTTAGATTTGGCAGTGTCCATAACCAGCCAAGAACTTGACCTTTGATTTCGTTGTTGGAAATGTCTAAAGTCCTCATACTATGTTGGGTTCTCAGAAGTTCTGGGAATTGGGTAATACCGCAGCGTGACAAGTTTAAAAGTAATACTTGTAAAGGAGAATCTGAAACTGAACTTTTGTTTGTGGCTAAAACATGGTTCCCTGAGAGATGTAATATTTGGAGTGACTTGGAACCTGATAAGATTGCATTCAAGTCAATCGTAGTTGTGGTGTTCAAATAGGAGAGGCCAAGAGTGCCAAGAAACTTGAGATGCGAGAATATACTGAAGTCAATGGGGCCTTGGGTGTTCCAATGGGAAAGGTAAAGTGTCCAAAGATTGACTAATTTGGAAATGGATCTGGGGATTGGGCCTCTGAAGTTGTTACCACTAAGGTATAACCATTCTAACTTTGATGGTGAAGATATATTCCCAAACTCAAGAGTGCCGTTGAGTTGGTTATGTGACAATTGAATCTTTGTCAAGGAGGGAATGGTGAAGAGAGAAGAAGGGATGGTACCAACGAAAGCATTGTCCCTTGCGGAAAAATCCTCCAAGTTGGAGAGTGAGCTAATGTTTGGAGGAAGCGTTCCTGTGAGTAGATTGGATCTCAGTGATAAAGTCGACAGCTTGGTCAAATTAAGTAGTGCAACAGGAAAGTTACCACTAAGCTTATTGGAGTATAAGTCTAACTCGGTCAACTGTTTCAAACTGCCAAAAGAAGATGGAATTTCACCATCGATATTGTTATTTCTGAGTTCAAGAGATTGGAGATGATATAGCTTTCCAATTGAAGATGGAATCTGACCCCAAAACTGATTATCTGAAAGATCGAGAGAGGTGAGATGTGAAAGACTTCCAATTGAAGATGGAATCTGACCAGAAAACTGATTATCAGAAAAATCGAGAGAGGTAAGATGTGAAAGATTTCCAATTGAAGATGGAATCTGACTCCAAAACTGATTACGAGAAAACTGGAGAGAGGTGAGATTTGAAAGATTTCCAGTTGAAGATGGAATCTGACCCGAAAATTGATTATCATTAAGATGGAAAGAGGTGAGATTCGAAAGAGTTCCAATTGAAGATGGAATCTGGCCAAAAAGATGATTATCAGAAAGGTTGAGAGAGGTGAGATGAGAAAGGTTTCCAATGGAGGATGGGATTTGACCATATAAATTATTATATGAAAGGTCGAGAATTGTTAGAAAAGGAATGTTGTGAAATGTATTTGAATGAAACCTGCCATAGAGGCAGCTGCAGCTGAGATCTAGCTCGATCACTTCCCCAGACTTGATACCATCCCAATAACAACAATCAGTGTTATTTCCCCATGACTCCGTCTTCGGATAAGGAGCTCTACCTTTATCATAATAACAATCAAGATCAGAAGAAGACTTCCGAATCTCAAACTCGTTCTTGAACTTGAGAAGTGCATTTCTTTGTTCAGGACGACACACATGTCTAATAGGAACCGCAGACATGTTTTGAAAATAAAGTATGAAAGAGAAGAGAAAAGAAAAAGCAATACGAATGGTCCTCATTGAGTTCCAGGAGCCTTTCGTTCTTCTTCTTTAAGCTAATTTAATTTTCTTGAATATCAATAATGAAGAAGCGAAAGATGGAAATGGTGATAATAAAACATGGTTTCATGCCCATCTCTTTATATACATTGCATATAGAGTGCTCCAGCTTCACTCAGATTGACTCACTATCAAGTCTTTGTATGAAGTATTATTCACGTTGAGCAAAGAGAGTGAATGTATTTGTGTTCCAAACATTTTGGTCCAACCAAATTAAAAGATATACACAACCAAATTAATGAAAAACAAATTAGATATACATTACAAAAAGAGTACAAGTCAAGAAGAGACGATTTGTTATGGGTAATGATAATCATGTGGTCGATGTAAAGAGAGCTCTCAGGAAGAAGAAAAGTTCGAAAAAGAAAGAGAGACTTTGAAATTGTTGGAGTTGAGAGCAGAGTTGGCTTACTTTTCAAGTCATCGTCTTTCGTCTTTTCCCCCGTGAAACAAAACTCACCAGTCAATATTGCTGAATAGTTTGAGAAATCGATTTGTTTGTTTGTTTGGTTTCTTTGTCATGATACATTTTTTCTTTGTTCGAGTTTGATTTATATGGTTTGTTTTAATTGCGTCGTGATACTAAACATAAGTTAATCTACAAATAAATTATTTTGAAAGCTCTGCAAAACCAACGAGAAGCCAAAGAGAATAAGTACTATCTCTTCTTGGAACTGAGATGAAGTATCGCTTGCTTGCAACACAAGCATCTATTCCTGCATCTGTGTCTCTATCTCATTTGTCAAGTAAGTTCAAATGCAAGAGTGGCTGTACAGGGATGCTTGAGTTCCACGCCATACCTAGTTTTGCGAATATAAATGAGAAAGTTCCTTTTTTCACATTATAAATAAAGGAAATATACTATTTATTGATTCAAAAGACAAAAAAACAAACTACTATAGTGCTTATTAGTTTGTTTTCCTAGCAAAATGTGTCCAAAATGGTAATGTTACTTTTATGAGTTGTTATTAGTTCTTGTATTTTAATGAATTTGAGAATCTAAACCAAATTTGGTTCTTGTATTTTAAAATCTATATTAAAATACACTGTTATTGGTTCTATGATTTTAAAATCTATAATGAAATACAGTGTTATTGATTCTATCATTTTAAAATCTAAATATTATAAAAATTTGAGTTTTAATTAAATTTGAATGGATTTGAAAGAATTTTCATGACTAAAATACAAAGATTCAAATACAAGGTCTAACCTTAATATTTGAGTGGATTGGATTTTTTTCTATTTTGCTGATTTTGAAATCAATAAATTTATCAAATTCAAAAAAGATTTCTAAATCCACCAAAATACAAGAACCAATAATCCCCACTTAAACATTGCAAAATAGACGAAACGTGTAATTCAAAATTTTCCATGCAAATTTGAAGCTTTTATCATCTATGAGCATCCAATCACCATTCACTCTATAGTTTTAACTTTTAACCATTATATGCAACAAACATAATAAACATAAACATACAGAGAAACTAACTCTATTTTTGCTATATAGTATTTATTCATTTATGGAGGTACAATCGATTGTTCTTGCCTCCTCTGCTTCTCACTTTCACTTTCTTATTCATTGCACCGATCTACACTGTTTATAAATATCCCTGCCAAAACAAAATTCGCAACAAAAACAGCTTCTTGATTTGGAACAAGAAAGATTTATTC